AGGACTGACGAAACCAAGTTCAGATTACAACGCTTGGGAAGACTCAAAACGAGCAAAACCTAGAAATCATAGCAGCCCTCGTGTGAGCGCCCTTCTGATAAAAACGAAGAACGATTTTTCGGCTCAAAAATACTGAACTTTTTCAGCAACACTGAGCACCGAAAAGTACAGCTCGACAGCATTAACAGTCGAACGTAATATTCGATTAAATGATACATCCGACTTAATGATAATAATACGAGCTTAGATCTTTAAGTATAGTTGATATTAATATCGAATATTAAAATGAGAAGAAAAATGGGAAAGGGAGTTAGAAAACTTGCGCGGTTTGCGTGTCGTTGATCGAAGAGCAGGCAGATCGAGCACGAGAAAGGATACGTAGGATAATCGGAATGGAAAGGAAGACGAAACGAAACGAAACGAAACGAAACGAACGATACGATTCAAGTGCACTGTGAGTAAATCAACCTCGTTCCAAGGACGAGACGGAAGTATAAAAGTTCGTTCGGTGAGTCGTCGGGGCTCGACGAGAAGGACACCTTTGTTACACATTCCTTTCTGTTTTCGCGAACGAAGAGTAAGAATCGCGTCAACGATCCGTCCTATAGTGAAAATAGTGGATCCCTCAGGGTCTCGGATGGATCGTTCCGCGAATACGCATAATACGCATAATTAAGTTCGTACGTGAAGTAAAGTAAAATAAATGAAAGAAAAAAAAAAAATAATAATGAAAAAGGGGGCGACTATCTGACGGCTGAGGTAAACGACATTTAGCAGCCCCCGTGTGCCGGCGCGTGCAATATTAATTAGGGTTACATTTACGGTTCATTGAATAGCCACTTAAGGATGGGGTACTAAGATTAAGCGAAACAAAATAAGAATGAAACGCAACTAATCGACGTTATCGACGGCTGCACGTACTTATTAACGACTACGGTATGTTTTTTCAGTAGCGAAACTTTTTCCATTGACTGGTAACTATGGAATCGACGAAACTCGCGGCTCGTCGAGGATTTTCGAGTACTGTATACATATTGCAAAACGCATATGCTCTCTGTACACACGTTCGTCGGTCTCTTGCCGGCTTCTCTAGCCGCGATACTCGATCGTTTTAGATTTTTGATATTATTGCAAGGAGATTCAGACATTTCTCTGACGATACGGAGGAAGCCTCGAATGAAAGTCTGTTTTTATATTTCGATTTCAATGTATCCCCGGTCATCCGTCAGTCTGTGTTGCATCGACTGATCAGTGCTTCGAACACATCACACATACCTATCTACACGAATACATAAATACACACATACACGCGCGCGCGAATATTTTATTCACTCGAGGCATTTAACACGCGTCATTTTGTTAAGCAACTTTCCAAAGTAACACGTGTGTTAGCTGTTGAGAATGGAACTGAACATTTCCGTACATCTGACACACACCACACGTACACACAGATTTTGTACATATTTTTAATAATGTATAATAGCTACATATAATTCTAAATTACATACCAAACGTGTCCGACATCACAGTTGCGTAATACGCGTGATCGTGTAAAAAGCCAAAAGAGCAAAGAATGGAAGAAGAAATAAAAAGAAAAGGTGCGTTTTGTTAAAGAAAAGAGAATTTTTTGTAGTAACTCGGGACTTCCTCCCAAAGACCTCAGATTCGAACTTTTCGTTCGATCGTTCATTTTCCTCGCGGTTTCTCGATGTCGTCTCGTGTTAATGAACCCCTTGCGAGCAACGTGAGGCGATGATTCTACATCACGGGTGTCTGAAATAAAAGAAATAAATAAAGCAAAAAAAAAAAAAAAAGAAAAAAATTAGGATTTTGCGACGGGCACATTAGTTCTAATTGACCGTACGAATAAAAATCGACGCTTCCGGATTCGTTTCTTATTCGTGCGGCTTTTAGTGCTGTCGCTACAAAAGAAACAAAAAAAAAAAAAAGAAAACCATAAAAAAAAGGTACACAAACACAGAGAAAACTTACAGAGA